GGGGCAAATGAAGAATTACAAGTGCATATTTATGCTGACTGATCAACTGAGATGATTCTATTTGACTGCTATGTTTTTGCTTCTTTTTGGTCGGGGTGATAAACCAGTCAGCTCCTTAACTTGGGTTTAGTAGAGTCGAAAATTGGTACTGTTACTTAAATCAAAACGAAGATTTTGCAATCCCATTTTGTGGAAAACATTTAAAGGCGGTTAGAAGAAAGTGTCAAAACTATTTATAAAATTGCATAAACTTCTTTACATCACAGAAGATTACTACTTTACTTCCAATCTTCGGACGAGTTGAAGTGGCAAGACGGATCAACTTATTTAAACAACAATTTACTAAGCGCCTGGTGTCAAGGTCGAGATGTTGCCCACTAATTCAAACTCGGTGATTAGTTATAATAAACATTTTTAAGGTAAACCTGACCAGAAGAAAATTTAGTTTGCCCTCTAAAGGAGTGTTTGGCTTAAAATTGCAGTCTAAGCTTTAGGCCCATTAATTGGATTTCATTTTCTTATGGCTTTGATTGCATTGCTTTTAAATGAAAACCCATTTAGAAATACTTTCTCAATCACCTGTAATTTTTACACTCATCGGGTAATTGACTTGACCTAATAGCGGTCCTGACTAATATAACGCCGTTAACATCGCTTTGGTAACCTTGGCTGCAAAACATAAAATATAGAAAAAGCTTAGTAAAAGTCACGTATTTTAGCTGTAAACTTAATTGCCATGCGTCTGGGGCTATTAACCTCATCCGACGTTTCTAATAGAATAGTAATTTATCGAGGGTGTGAGACAGACTTACCTCCACGTAGTGCAACCTTGGCAACGTAGACTCATACGGCAAAAAGGTATATAAAAACGAAAATTGACTTCTGACTACAAACTACCATGACCCCACTCTGTCATATTCGACCACTGCCCCGGTGTTCACCTCGCCTTTTTCTCTACCTTTGTGTTTGACATTTTTACGTCTGTAAATCGTACTTCTGTTCTCCCCCCCCCCCCTCGACTTTTGGGACTTTATCTGTTCCTCCTCTTTGTGAAACCCGTAATCAGCTGAAGGGCTAATGGAAGCTATCATAATGTCTACTATTTCGTATAAATGAAATCATTTATCTATTTTTCATCTGATGAATATTATAACGCAATTCGCCAACATCTTATAATTAAAATTTTGGTATTTTGTTGCCATTCTGGCTGTAAGCTCAAAAAGCTAATTAATCTGCTGACTAACTGAAGTTGATTTTAAAAGCTAGCTTCTAACGCACACAAGGGAAGTGTGTGTGACTCATGTCCTCGTTATTGCAGTCCTGTGCCTATGATTCGTAAATAGAGTGTCTCAATCGTCAGGTTTAAAACTAGATTAGTGAAACCGAACAATTAGTTAGAAACTTTGGTTTGCCTAAATAGTCAACTTTCCAAAAAAAACACAACTGATTAGGATATTGTTGAATAACAAGAATCCTACAAAGAGTGATCCCTATAATGGTATCATTATTATAAACCAGGATTTAAATAAAATAACACCGTGCCTTGATGAAATCAACCCTGGAATGCATAAGGTGAGAGCATGGGACATTACCCTAGTGTCCCAATGCCTCAAAAGTGCTGACAATTTCATATAATGAAAGACGTGTTTCTATTGGCTAAAAGTGTTGGTTTTTAGATGCGAGCATTAGCCTAAGGCGTGCGTACGTGCCCTACGTGTGTATCGATCGGTACACTGGCTTGCAGATTGCTACGCTAAAACGCGACTACGTGTGCTTGCAGCTTTCGCATGCGGACGTGACTATAGTTGGTCACTCGAATTAGGAGTGTAAACATGGAATAAGGAGCTTTTGTATCGACGAGGCGCTAAGAACATAAAGAACAGATTCTGAAAATAAAATTGTTAGTTCTCTAGGCCACTTAGCTTACTATTTATGAGTAAGCAGCTTTGAATTGTGTCTACTTTAGGAATAGTTGATCAATGGCCTGACATGTTAATCTACGCGTCCTCATTCGGTGGCCATAGGAGCTAATTTCTTCTTCTATCCTGTTTGGCCACGATTTTAGGGGGTTGCTATCTCCTCTCTGACCCGAAATCGACTCTGGAATGACTAAGACTTATTAGCTTAGAGAAACCACTAATGTAACTTGAAATCGCTGACCTTACCGACCTTAGGCTGCTGAATCACGAATTATCATCTCAGTATTCCCTACTAGGTGCAAGCAAATCTCTCAGACTTTATAAGTTTTCTTAAATTAGACTTTTTTAGGAAAAGATTGATTTATCTTAAGTAGTGATCACGTATACAGCATCAAGTTTTCTTCCTAGAAGGAAGTTAACCTTTTTTCGGGTTGTCAAGATAATAGAGGGCCCATTTAATGACAGAAGTGTGAATTAATATCATAACTTGATTTAATAACATACTGGACATTTACTGGTTCACAGGAAGTGGTGAAAGTGTTCGGTACGATTTCCGAAATGGAATTACAAATTGTATTGCCATCTCTTTGGTATCGTTTTACGTAACCCGAAGGTTGCAATGTTGGAATCATTTGGAGCTGTTTCAAAGTGTTCTGAGAAGACGCTCGTTTGAAGTTATTTGGAAAGATAGATGTTAGCTTGATTTTCGTGGACTTTTTGGCAAACTCTCGGGGACACGTTGAATATTTTCCTGTGAACATGACATATTCATACGGTTACGTTTGGCATTAGAGACTTTACTTGTAGTTCTAGAATTCGCAATCGTTTTCTGGTTTACCCTTAGTACGAACAACTAGCTGGGGGGAGTTTTGAAGTGAACCCTTCAGTCAACATTAAAAAGGGTTTTCTTCTCAAGTAACTTTCAACAGTAAGCACTCTTTGGTTGTTGGAAAACAGCAAACTACAGGACGGTATCAACAAGTGCCGTCGCAGAACTAAACATCGCAGTTCATAAAAAAATCGTGCTTGGACATCACGTGATCCCGTGCATTACATTAGACACAAAATTCGATAGCATTAAACCCGATCCCGCTTATATTCATTTTAAATATTTGTTAAAATACCTTGCAAAAGTCGAGAAATTATTTCATTGAAATGACTAATGTCCAATAAGTGGGTTAAAATCAGCCCTCGTAGTAATAACCAGCATCATTGGGTTGTTATGAAGTTATTACCATTAACAAAGTTAAAAATGAGACATTTTCTTGTTTTTTTTCTTCCTTTTTTACTTTATGTCGCACCACCCTGTTGTCAGAGTTATTAGTCCCATTGAAATGCAAATGGCGATTGAACTCCCATAAATGAAGAAACATGAAAGTTTTGTTTAGCATTGTCTTCAGCGGCTTCCCACGTAGGTGGTAAAAACGGCATTTAGAATGCAGTTTCTGTTTAAACAAAACGATCACCTTGAAAAGATGAACTAAGATTATTTATCCGTCATTTATCAATAAATCATTAACTAAGCCTTCAGTGATCGATCAATAGATCACTGGGTTTTGGATTCTGGAGCGTACTTCGGATTTATAAACGAGCACTGATGATGCCTTAACAAACCGACTTTAATACTCATGGAGTATAAATTTAAAAGGTGCTCCATTTGTAAGTAAATTATACATGGGAGTTACATGCTAAACTCTTAACATGTCTAATTTCACTCAGTGATCAATCGGAATGTACAGGAACAGGCTATTTAAATCCTGTTCGAATAGCCACTAGATTGAAAGGGCCCATTTTTGTGTACGCATTAAGAATTTGCCGTAATCACTCATTTAACAAGAGTGATATATTAAGAACCCTAAATAAGGTGGGCAAATAATCACACAATTATTCTAGCTAATGCAAAATTCTACAAGAACCTTTCATCAATGCGGCAAGGAAACCTAATCTGCTAAAACTTATCAATTATCGAAGTAGAATAAATTAAAGCCTAGTTAAATAGCACGCTAAAACTCGTGATGCATTCGGAAAACAGCTATAACGGTGTCAACTGGCAAAGTCTAGACAATTCTGTGAAAGACATTAGAAGCAACAGATTTGATCTATATTTATACCGCTACCTATGTAGAGTTTGCCATTCACAAGATGAGCAAAAATCGATGGAAATACCGATATTCTAAATAGAATTAAATACTTGAGATGGATGAAATCCACTGCAACACCGATGGATATATTATTTGGCAATAAATTTTTCACTCATCGTCTTGGACATCAATAAGACCCTTAATCAGTATTGCTGCTTGGGATTCGACGGAGTATTTTTTCCGCTTTTATTTTCAGAACTGCCTTAATGACAAGATACCTTTCTCTTTAAAGCAGTAGTGTTCTAGATAGAAACATGCGCCATTCCACACGATGTCTTTGTCACCCTTTGTCCTCCAAGTTGCTTGATAAAGCAGTCCGGATAAGTTTAAAACAAAGGCAAACAATGTACAAAATTGGGTCAAATCTCATTGTAACAACATGGCAAATATGGGTCACAACTTCTTAAGGTGAGTCGTAAATTAAAGACAAATTTGTCTCAAGGAGGCGGTTTCAGTGAAGAGAATAAACTGGAGTTCAGTCACGTACCCCTTTTTCCGTTCACGTTCTATAATAAGTGGATGAGGTAGTTAGCATAGAACCCATGCAGACAAGACGCAGGGGCCACTCTCGCCAATTACTAAAACCCAATAGAGCTAGATAGAAACGTAACTTCCAGGCGCGTAATTAGAGAGCAAACACCACCTAGAGCTCCCTCTGTGCGACTTTCTTGGCAAAAGCAGCCTCGTAAGGTCAAGAATAGTGCAAACTAGGGTCCAGATAGCCCAACAGACGGCAACTACTAGTTGTCCCCGAGATACCTCAAAAGAACACCAAGATATCGGGATTTACGTCGATTTTTATTACTATCAAGTGCCTTGTCTTTTTGGGATGGGTTTTTCAGGTATATTTATTTTCAACCAACATGGGGGGAGATTATATATTACGACAAACAACCGTAAGGGAATGGGAGCCGTATTTCACCCTCTCATGGAAGCGAATTTACTTATTGTCCACCTTGAACATGTGAGCGATAAGGTCAACTACACGGTTACTGTAACCGCATTCGTTATCGTACCAAGCGACGAGCTTAACGAAGGTGTCATTGAGAGAAATACCAGCACCAGCATCGAAGGTAGAAGAGCAGGGAGTGGAGCAGAAATCAGAGCTGACAACTTGCTCTTCTGTGTATTCCAGGATACCCTTGAGGGCTGCTGACTCAGAAGCCTTCTTAACGCACGCCTTGATTTGCTCGTAGGTGGCAGGCTTTCCAAGCTTGCAAGTCAGGTCAACAACAGAGACGTTGGGGGTTGGCACACGGAAAGCCATACCAGTGAGCTTTCCATTGAGCTCAGGAATGACCTTGCCGACAGCTTTTGCGGCACCAGTGCTAGCTGGGATGATGTTCTGAGCAGCAGTGCGTCCATCACGCCATGCCTTGCGTGAGGGTCCATCAACAACCTTTTGGGTAGCGGTGTAGGAGTGGACTGTGGTCATAAGACCCTCAACAATGCCGAAGTTATCATTGATAACCTTGGCAAGAGGAGCCAAGCAGTTGGTTGTGCATGAAGCGTTGGAGACGATGTTCATGGACTTCTCATACTTCTCATGGTTGACACCAACGACAAACATGGGGGCATCAGCAGAAGGGGCGGAGATGATAACCTTCTTTGCACCTCCTGCCATGTGAGCCTATATATATATATAGAATTGACATAAGAGAAAAAAATTACAAGCTTACAGAAGCCTTTTCAATGGTAGTGTTGATACCAGTTGATTCAACGATGTATTCAGCACCAGTTGAGGACCATTTAATGTTCTTAGCATCCATTTCACAGAAAACGGTAATTTTGTGGTTGTCAATGACGAGCTGGCCACCTTCTACCTTGACAACACCCGGGAATTTACCATGGGTAGAATCATATTTGAACATGTAGACCATGTATTCTAGGTCAATGAAGGGGTCATTGATGGCAACAACATCGACGGTGTTTAAGGCAACCGCAGCACGGAGCACAAGACGTCCAATACGACCGAAACCGTTGATACCGACCTTAGCCTTCATGTTCAATATCTCAACACCAAAATGAAAGGACTGCTGGCTAGGGTCTGAAACCAGCGTATATATAGCAGGCGTGCTTCCTACACCACTAACCAATCAACTGCTAACGCAGCTATCCAATAAAAGTGCTTAACCTTGGAGAGGCTTAAGTTATTGGCTATCGGAATGCGAACGTGGCTAGGTTATGTGGTGGGGCATTGCCTGCTGAGCGGTAAATATACCGGGGTTTTCCAAAAGTCCGCCCATCCGAATAAGCGCCCGTGCTAGGACCAGGCAGCAAAACTATTACGGTTAATTAAAAATCTTTTCATTCCTCACGATGGAGTCGAAAGAGACTACGCCAAAACGTGTTCAACGATCGTATACCATCGATGAGAAGTTAAGTGCCATTAAACGAGTGAAAGAACATTCTGGCAATTTATCTGTTGCATCAAGAGAATTGGGAATTGATAGAAAACGATTGAGAGAATGGTGCAGGCAGGAATCTGATTTAACCAAGCAATCAGACAAGAAGCGACGTAGGGCAATTGGTGGAGGTAGACGACCAAGCCTTAGAAATCTGGAGACCAAACTTTTCCAATGGATTGTTGCTCAGTGTGCAAACAATATGATCATAAATTATCGCCGGTTACGGGAGCATACTTTTGTGCTGACAAAAGAACTTGAAATTGAAATGCCTGACTTCAAGTGTTCTGATAAATGGATTTTCAATTTCATGAAACGGAACAGCTTGACTGTGGGGAAGATGACAAATGTTGGACAAGTAGACAATACAACGGGGGACGACAGAGCACAAATCGCCAGTGATCGCCAGGAATTAAATATGAAGTAAATATCGGTATTATTGTATGAAATAAATAGTGTTTTTTTTCTCAAATTATACATATTTTCTTCTTAGGTGAAATATTTTACTTGTGCATGGGTGCTTATATGGGTGGGCGGTTATTTTGTTCCAAAAAAGCGAGTGTTGTTTTTGATATCGAATTTCGCGTTTAACCGCCTTGGGTGGATTTTCGGAAAACCTTGGTATAAGCTGATATTGATTTGGAAAGATCAAATTTATGGTGCCCTAATACTGAGTTACCGTTGAGAATTAGTATCAACTCTTTCTTTATCTTTTGGCGTAAATGGCCATCTTTACACTTATATAAACTTCTGTAGAACTTTGCAGGCGATATTGTTGTCTGACTTCAAAGGTTTTTTTTTCAGACAAATGTCACGAAACACGATTTCCGCGACGTCTTTTGTGGTGAGAAGAACAATTTTTATGCAAGCGTTTTGAACGAGATCTACATCGAAGTAGGCCTTGAAAAGTGATTCCACAAGGGGTTCCTTATCGGCCAAATAGAGCGATATTTGGCTTAAGTGTACTGAAAAAAATGTTATAAACACACCTCGACTGTGGCGCACCGCTTGTGGTACTTATAAACATGACTTGACAAGCATTTTAATAGCCTTCGAGCACATACTAACTCCAATTAATTACACCTTTGTAAGCCAAAGCATTCGTATATGAAGGAATGTAATAGTGCACCAAAAGGGCTTTGGCTAGCAATTGTCTCTCTCATAAACGCGACATGTTTTACAAATGCTTTATTATTTAATTGAAGGGGCATTCGTTTCACCTCTAACTCCTTTGTAATTGCACTGAGCATATGGAATCGTTTCTAGAATAAAATGAGGAACTTATGAGGAGCCCTATTTGGTATTAGAAATCATACAAATCAATGCGCGTTTTGTACTCATTAAAAAAGCACTTTTCTGCTCTTTAAACTAGCTGATAGCAACCTGCCTTAGGAAACTGGTAAGAGTATTTGGTACCTCAAATCGATGTAAGTGGAATCGCTGCACTTTCCGGTAACTTTGAGAACACACTATAAATTTTCTGTCAGTATTTTAATTCAATGGAAAGACAACGAAGGAAGTAGTTGATCATCAAAACCAATTGGTTTCCGAACAGAAACCCAACGATTAATTAATTGGGTTGCGTAATAGACTCACCTTCACGTGATGCACCCTGGGCAACGTATACTCATACGGCAAAAAAGTCTATTAACCGGCTATTGACTTCTGACTACAAACTACCATGACCCCAGTGTATGTCATGTTCCACATAACTCACCGCACCTTACCTTTTCTCCACCTTTGTGTCTGTCTGTCTGCCTCCTTTACAGCTGTGAATCACTCTTCCTTTCCCACCCTCTCCCCTCCCCCCCCCCAACTTTTTGGGACTTTGTCTGTTCCTCCCCTCTGTGAGGCCCGTAGTCAATTAAAGGGCTAATGAAAACAGAGTATAAAGCCTGCCATTTGATATAAATGTTGAAACAAAGAGTTGCGTTATTTTTTTAAATCAATAGAAGAAATGATTCCAAATATGAAGGTTTTAAGTTAATGTGATTAATAAAATGCTTATCTTCATAATCACAACCCCTAAAAGGAAAATTTTTGATTTTCTGAGTGGAAATTTTCTTCCCAAGCGTGCTTATATGATTTGCGCAAGTTGAATGATTTTGTCCTCATTAATTTCTTTACTTTTTTTGGCAAAAAGAGAAAAATTGCAACTGAGCACATTGACGCAATGTGCTCAGTTTTATGTGGAGGTGAAGCGTCTACAAATTGAGGCTATTCAAGTGAAAAAAAGATTCGTTTATGATGAAATCTTACAAATTATAATCTGGGAATAAGAAAAAAATAGGTCACAGCATGGAAAAATTGTCACAAAATAAAACATCCAAGTGGTGGTGGTGGTGGTGGTGGTGGTGGTGTGGGGGGGAAGGTCGATATTCGTTCGGACCTATGACTCACTTCTCGACCTATCAATAACGTTTTTGAAGGTTAGTACCGTGCAGAGTCGTGCAGACCTATACCACAATTGATATTGATTTCAATAGCGTGAAAGACCCACTGGTGTTGATCATGCTAAGTGTCCAGAAGTAGTAAGAAATGATTGTAGAATTCATAAGATTCATTCATTTCAAATGGCAGGCGTTTTGATAGTTACCATTAGCCCTTTAGCTGACTTCGGGCTTCATTGGGGGAAGTTGTAAAAGAGACAGACACAAAGGCAGAGAAAAGGTAGGATGGGTACTGTGAAAGTGTTAGAATATGGCATTCAGTGGGGTCATGGTAGTTTGAAGTGAGAAGTCAACTGCCAGTTAGTAGACTCTTTTGCCGTATGAGAATACGTTGCCCAGGTTGCACCACGTGGAGGTAAGTCTATCGCACACCTCATGTTAAGTGTCTGGAAGTAGTAATAAATGATTGTGGATTTCATAAGGTAGGTCTTATTTTTGGGGAAATATGGTTATTTTAATATATCGAGATTTAGGAAAATGATTTGCTAGTGATTGGCTGTCCGTTGGCTCAGACTCATAGGTAAGGAAGTGAACACAGAATACGAATGAAATTAGTTTTAATGTTATCGAGGAATGGTCAAGCTGTTTGGAGAGGGTTTTGAAAAGACCAAGTGCAACGTAAGTTCAACCTGCGGGAATTTATTATCCGAGCACCATTGAAGATAGAAAGTTTGTCATGTTGATTTTCTACCAGGAGTGCCAATAAAAAATATTGTAGAAAGCTTTCAATAGGAAAGGAAAAGACGTTTCATAGGTGTGGCATAAATAACAAGTGTGGTGTGACATAAAGGAAGTCTTCCGATGCACATTTCGACCGGAAGTGTCACAGTGCAATCGTGGCTCTATAAATGCGCTTTAGTGTTTGCCAATGATAGTACGAGGGTAATTAGCAATTAGAGCTTAACAATTTGAATAAATGAATAATTCATGCACGTCTATAATGAATAGCTAACAAGTTGGCTAATAATTCAGGTTTTGG